GTTCCTATCTGTACGATCTCTGACATTTTCTGCCAAGGGCTTCCAGATGCCCTCCTATTACAATCACCTCCCTGTTCTACCTAGCGAATTTGAGGCAATGTATCCCCTTCCCTGACAGTCAAACAGCCACAAAGCTCATATGTCATGATGTGCTGTCAACACGATCACCATGACACAGTGAGAACCACATTAACCAAACTTAATAGCAAAACAAATATCTTGAAGAATACCACACAGACTAGCTTATTTATTTTCTTATTCAAGTCATTCATTAAAACCCTCACCATTTTCTCATTTATCAGAGGTCACCATCAAATTTCCAGCTGCCACTAAATTTCCAGGTACAACATAGCACTGATGTATCCACGAGGTCTTTTTGCCACAGAAATTAAGCCTCGTTTGCAAGCTTTCCCTGATGTCATATTAATCATTTTGACTGTCCTGATTTTATCACCAGAATAAATTTTATTTTTCTTCCTGGTGAACGTTTCTTTTAAAGTTGTTTTGTTGTGGAAACAAACAAAAAAAATATTTACACAATGAGGATGATCGATGATTGGATGACAAAATAAGTGCTTTTTAAATGCTCATTATACATCTGTTGGCATTGGCTGCCTCATTGTGAACTACGGGCTGCAATCGCAGGGACGCACAGTAGCCGTGTTTACATCGCTGCAAGAGAGACCTCTGGAGCCGACAGCACTAGTGGGAAAGGAGCACATGACTTTAATGAAAAAAAAGAAATAACAACAACAGACAAAGATCGTGTACTTTTTGGCCGGCAGCAGACACTGACTCCGCAAACATCTGTGCCCGGTACGTGTCTGGGGGTTAGTTACGGTTCCTCTGCCCGAGGTCACCGTGTGTGCTGCCAACTCCATCAGCCTCGGCTGTCCTGGCCGGAACAGCATGAACACATCACCCCCTCACACACACCCGGCTGGCAGAGCATGTACCCCATCACCACCCAGTGTTCTGTGGGGAGCAGTGGCAGGAGGCAAAGCATCGTCACCCAGAGCCAACAACAGCCCAGCTCTGCTCACAGCTCTGCTGTCTGAGGGAGCTTTGCTTCCACAGCTGAAAAATTGTAGCTGGGACAAAAATATCTGTGATGGCTGCGAGTATCCCACATCTGCCCACCAGCCTGGTCTGCCACCCTGCCCCAAACACTGGTGTC